AATCTGGAAAGACAATGATTTTAATATGAAATCCTTCATTTAGCGGTTGGGCTCCAGATTACCTCCTCGTCGACAATCTCCTCATCTGCAGGGCTTTCTCCTGCTGTTTGCGAAACTGGACATGAAAACCCCTCACTTGGTCCAGCAAGATGGTTCAGTGGTGGGTAAGGCACGGCCTGCTAATCCTGACAAATCAGAATTATTCCCTGGACTCATGGGTGGAAATAAAGAGCCAATTCTGCAAGTTGTCACCTAACCTCCACAGGTGCACCATAGCAGGAGCTCATGTACTGCACACACACACACACACACACACACACACACACACACACACACACGAGACAGATGGGGGGGAGCAGGGGAAAGGGAGGGAGAGAGAGAATAAGAATAAAACCTCCTAAATGCTGGTCACCATTTTCAAGGGAAAATAGTACACTACCTCCCTTAAAAAGGGAATTATAGTACTTCTAATCCTGATACTTGTGAGGGAGAATCCATGGTTTAAGCTTGAATTACATTAAACACAATGGGGAAGAATTAAATTAAAAACGCCAATCTCCCATTCCAATCACTTCCCCAAGGGGGCTGATGTCTCTGTCTTACTCTGAGAGCAATAGGGGAAGGGAGGCCAAGTCCTACTTTGGCTAAGATATAGCAGCATCTGTCTTAGTTAAGGTATCTGTTGCTGTGATAAACACCAAAAGCGACTCAGGAAGGAGAGGGCTTATTTAAGTCTCCCTCGCATCTCGGCGGGAACTCGAGGCAGGAACCTGGAGGCAGGAACCTGGAGGCAGGAACTGCAGGAGAAGCACTACTTGCTGCTCTGCTCCTCATGGCTGGCCCAGCCTGCTGTCAGATAACCCAGGACACCTGCGCAAGCGACAGCACCACCCACAGTGCTAGACACCCACATAAACTATTAACCAAGAAATGTCTTGCCTACAGTCAACCTGATGAAGGCATTTCCCTTTCAGCTTTTCGAGACAGGGTTTCTGTGTAACAGCTCTGGCCACCCTGTAACTCACTCTGTAGACCAGGCTGGCCTCAAACTTAGAGAACCGCCTGTCTCTGCCTCCAGAGTGCTGGGATTAAAGGTGTACCCACTATTACCCAGCTCTAAGGCATTTCCTTAGTTGAGGTTACTCTTCTTAGCAATTTAAGTTTGTATTAAATTGACACACACACACACACACACACACACACACACACACACAACCAGCCATCCTAAGACATACACGCAAAAACAATCCTGTAAACTTGACAAACATATCACATTCCAACTGCGATCTTTCTTTTCTCATTTGTCCATCATGCTGACATTAGTATCACAATATACTTTAAAAATCACAATAACTTTAAAAATCTCGTAGTCTTTAAAAAAAATTCAAACACCTTTAAAAATTTGGTCTCGGGGTCTGGAGAGATGGCTAGCGGTTAAGAGCACTGCCTGCTCATCTAGAGGTCCTGAGTTCAATTCCCAGCAACCACAAGGGGGCTCACAACCAGATCGCTAATGATATCTGGCGCCCTCTTCTGGCCTACAGGCATACATGCAGACAGAACACTGTATACATAATAAATAAATTTTTAATTTGGTCTCTCTCTTTAAGCGCCTATAAAACTAGAATAAGTTACATACTTCCTTACTCTAAGAAAGGTGGGAATCAAGAGCACAGTTATATTCAGATAAAAGCAAAACCAAGATCCAACAGTGTGAAAGCTCAGCTTCATACACCCGGGACTCATAATTTTCTGGGTTCCAAAGCTCTACCCATCCACAGTATTCATTGCCTCCTGGGCTCAGGCTGCTCCACATCACAACTACTGCTGTTCTTGGTAGTTGCCCTTTGTGCTGGCATCTCCGAAACGCTAGAGCCTCTTGCTGCAACCGGACTGTGCCTTCACCAACAGCCTCTTCTGGGTTCTCTTCAGGGACTGTCTGACTTATCACATGGTACCACGCCTCGGCTGTTCTCCCGACCCTTTCAGGCTTTCAAAACCAATGCCACCTAATAGACACATCACCAAGTTCAGATGTCAGTACAGTGTATAGCCTTACCCTCTCCAGACCACAGCTTGTATGCTGACCCAGAGGAAATACTTCCTTTTACTGGTTCAGTTAGTTAACCAGTCTCTTTGTCAGTCCTAGCTTCTCAGAACCACAGCTTTTCAATTCAAAATATCAGATGCGCCAAAAAAGACTTTAAGGGATTCTCTCTTTTAAGATTTTATTTATGCAATATGTATACAGTGTTCTGCCTGCATGTATGCCTGCAGGCCAGAAGAGGGCACCAGATCTCACTATGGATGGCTGTGAGCCACCATGTGGTTGTCAGGAATTGAACTCATGACCTTTGGAAGGACAGCCAGTGCTCTTAACCACTGAGCCATCTTTCCAGCCTGGCTTTAGGGGATTCTACTTCCCTCTGAAAGGTCACAGGCCAGGCCTCCATTGTCAGCACTGCTCTTAGCATAATCTTCTATGTTTGCTACTGTGGAACAATCTTTGTCAATTGTAAATATATACTTCTCTCATTGTTAATAATAAAAAGCTGACTGGATAGCCAGGCAATAGTGGCGGAGACCTTTAATCCAGCACTCCCTGCGGCCGTGTTCATTGAGATTGAGCCTTTTCACCCCCTCCCCAGGAAGACGTTAGGGTTCAGCAATGGCCATGGAAGAACATTTCTTACTGGCCTGTACCTCATGGCTTAACCTACTGATTTTCATTTATAACCCAGGACCACCTGCCCCGGGGTGGCACCACCCATAGTGAGCTGGGCCACACCCACATCAATATTAATGAAGAAAATGCCCCACACGCAATCATGAGGCATTTTGTTTGTTTTTTGAGACAGGGTTTCTCTGTGAAACAGTCCTGGCTGTCCTGGAACTCTGTAGGCCAGGCTGGCCTCAAACTCACAGAGATCCACCTGCCTCCTCCCGAGTGCTGGGATTAAAGGCATGCACCTTTTTCTTAATTGAGTTTCCTCTTCCTAGATAAATCAGGTTGACAAAAACAAAAACAACAACAACAAAAATAGCCAGAGCATCATTGTTCTAAAGTCAGAAGCCTTATTTCTATCAGCCAATCTAAAATATCTATGTGAATTACTTAGACATTTTATACTGATCTTAAAAGATGCTTTTAAAGATATATAATGAATTTTTTTAGTGAGAATATGTGAAATTATGTAAACTGGAGAGTCTCCAGAACATGAAGATAACAGGTCACAGGAGAGGGTTTCGAGTTCTGTGTAACTAAGACCTTAAACACTTTTCACTGCATTGGTCAACATTCATGCATGTTCAAAATTTGCCCTAAGATAAACCGCTGTTGTGTAAGATGAGTGGTGAGTGCACACACAGGAAAGATGTCAGCATGTCAGGTATCCTGCTGTATTTTTTTTTCCACTTTATTTCCTCAAGACAGGGTCACTTGGTGAAGCTGGAGCAGGCTGGTAGCTGGCAAGACCAGAGGTGTTTCCTTATCTCCACCCCTCCCCATGCCAGGGTTACCTACAAATGTGCAACCATGCCCAGTTTTGCACATGGATCCTCATTCTTACAGAACAAGCGCTCTTATCCCTTGAGCCATTCCCCCAGCCCTAAGATAATTCTATTAAAATAGGATTCTTACTGACATATCACCTATTCTAAAGGATCTCAGTATAACACTTCGAGTAGTCCCCATTCAACTAGGGAATGAGCTGATGCTGTCTTCCCAAAGTTCAGAATTATGGAACTGGATGTGCCAGCACATGTCTTTAATCCAAGTATCCAGGAGGCAGATACAGGCAGATCTCTCTGAGTTTGAGCAGTCAGTCTGGTCTACACAGTGAGTTCCATGAGAGCCAGTACTATGTAGACAGAGCCTCCCTCCAGAATTGTGGTGTAAGAAACACCAAAGGTCTCACTTAAACAAACAAACAAACAAAACCTGTATTGTAAGCCAACAACACACGTCTCAGAAATAACCTACCATAAAATCTTTAGGAAGGGTTGGAGGAAGCCCAATGGTTAAGAGCACTGGCTGCTCTTTCAGAGGACCCAGGTTCAGTTCCCACTTACTGTTCCAAGGGATCTGATGCCTTCTGATTTTCACAGGACAGGCACCAATGTGGTGAACATACATACATGTGGGCAAAACATTCATACACACAAAATAATAAATACATTAAAAAGTCTTTAGGAAATCACTTTCACGTAATGTTGAAGATTAAATCCAGGGTCTCACTTGTGCTCACTAGAGAAGGGAGTGCTTTATCGCCAAGCTATCCCCAGAGCCCCCTAACACTGGTTAACAAATATTTTCCTGCTTATGTGGATAACTAGAGTTGTCTTTGGTCTTTTCTGTAAGTTTGTTGTGTGCCATTACCTGCCCTCCCCTCAGAGCTGAGGATCTTGAGTTGGACCAATGAACTAAAAATCCCCAATCCCATATATGGATAACTAAGTAATCCACTATTATTTTCCACCTTCTTATTTTCCACCTATCAGAATTGCCTTCACATAAAACCCATTTCTGTAATGTGTTTTAGGTTGCATTACTGAGGTGGACAAGGATTTATATAACTAGTTTATACAGCACAATACTTAGTAAGTTTCTGCTGTTCAATTGACAGAAAATATCTACCAGTTCTAGATATACAGAAGGGAAATGTACTTCTGTTATTTGGTGTTGACTGATGACTTTGGATGCACTGTATATTGTGAGTCATTTTAAGGCTATAAATAATTCATCCACCAGGCTATCCATTTCATGAAACAAAAATGTATAGAAGCTAGCAACTGAGATATCCAATGTCACCCTCACCAAGTCTCACCTCATAACACAGTTCTCCCTGTGACCCTCAGTCTTCAGCACCACAGTGCCTCTATTATTCGTACTGGGACGGGGACACAGCAGCATTCGGACTCACCTAACAACAGGCAATCAGGCAGAAAGGAAGCCGAATTCTAACCGTAAACACACTTGTCAACAGCATGTCTAAACCTGCTTAAATCCAGGAAGACTTTTATTACACAATTTGACTTTACATCAATAAAATGTTAGGTATAACATTATAGATGAAGGAAGAACAATCTAATTTATATTGAAATAAATATTAGACATATGAAGCACATACACTGAAAAAGGGTCACAAAAATTACAGGTGGAGACAAGACTTTGCTCAATCAACAAAGAAAGCCCTTGATATTTCCAATTTCACACCATCAGATTTATCATTCTTGCTGATTTAAGCAGAACACAAAACAAATATGGATCCTAGGGCTTACTTGCACAGACCAGCATGGATAATTTACTACAGTGATCCAATTTGAAATCAGCAGAGACCAGTAAATCGCTGCATAAAAGAAAGAGCGAAGGAGGTCCCTTTTCCTCAGTGTCAGCAGACTATGATTATTATGTTTATTACATTTTCTTGAAAGGACTTCACATTTTCTCAAATATGCAGGAGAACTACATTAGCATTATGAGCTTTGGTCTTGAATACAGGAGAATGATGAATTTTTCAATTTGTTTTATAAATCTACAGTCTGGATAGTATTGGCTTGAAGAGTATATATAACTCCCCAACCTGTACAATATATTAAAAATGTATTCAAGAGAAGTTAGTAAGAAACGCTGACATACTATATATACAATTTTTTAGTTCAATATATCCCATTATATCAAGCACCAGAAGTGATGCATTTATTAAATCAAGCAATTTCCATGACTCTTTCTAATCTTTGCAATCCTTGTATATTTGCTCCAATATATGCACATCATAAATGTTTTCTGCCCCAGATTTTGCTCTTTTGGTCTCAATTTACAGACACATGTAGACAAAAACTATGTCAAAGGGAAATGTTCTTGAAGTTACAAAAGAATAGTAAAAGCTTGGAATTCAATGTTATGAACAAAAAAAAGTCAGTTTCAAAAATGTTAGGCTTTTTTTTTTAAATGTAGGTGTAGAAAGCTAGAAAAGGTGAGAGTCAAAGGCAGGTGGGTCCCTGAGTTCGAGGCCAGCCTGGTCTACAGAGGGAGTTCCAGGACAGTCAGGGCTACGCAGAGAAACCCTGTTGGGGATTGGGGGTGAGGTGGGAGGAGGAAGGAAGGGAGAAGAGGAAGGGAGGAAGGAAGCAACAAGCTAGGAAAGAAAAAAAATTGAGTTGATTCTTGGGCCCTTCTTTCTCCTACAACAGCCAATTGTTAAGACTCTAGCAAACACAGCTATCAATCATCTTTTCCCCACTGTTTTCTAAGAAAGAGAATCCATTTCCAACACAGAGAATACTGCATTTGTCATGTCACTACCAGCTCACACTGTGGGTCAGTCACACAGCGTACGACACAGAAAAGGAGACCAGAGACAAGCCTTCCCCAAGAATGGGTCCATTTTGGATAAGTCACTTAAATGCCAACTCAAATCACAAAAACCTCACTGATGAATCACAGGACATCTACTAAACTCTTCAGTAGCTCCTCTGACACCCTTGACGCCAGCTCCAGTTTGTACCCAGAACTATAAAAGCCTGGGTGCATTAAAGAACTGTCAAGAAACAACTCCAGGCTTTTCAGAGGTAATTACATTCTCCAGTACACTGTGTGCCAAGCTCACCAACACACTGCCTGTGTGGAATTCCCCTGGTCCTAGGAAATTCCAGGGGTGCTAAGAAAAATTTGTCTTTACAAACTACACTTGATTTTCAAACTCAGGGAGCGTTCCTGATGTAATACCCAAACTGTTAGGTGCTTTCAAATCACTGGGAAAGTCTCAATCATATAGGTTATATAGATTCTATCTAGTATACCTACAAATGATAAAAAAATTAAAATCTCACCTCTCTATATAAGAAAAGATGAAAAAAGTAATTATCATTTTTCTACACTTGATAAAGGGAAATGATAATCTTACAGTTTATATACTCAGGTTACTTAGGCTGAGAATGGTGAAACAGTAGCACAACGCCACTCCCAACTGCGTCCTGCTTTACCATCTCATATTGACGGTGCACTTCTTTTGAACGTTTTACACTGTAAAGTAGTACTCCTGAGATGGGAGTATAGCTCAGTGGTAGAATAAGGTGTCGGTCCCAGCATGCACAGTAAGTACTTACCAAATATTTGTCCAATATTGAATTAAAGGGGTTACAGGATTAAAATCCTTAGTGTTACGGTCAGCTAAGCATTTTTAGTAGCATAGCATTTAGCCTAACACAACTGTAAAAATGGGGACTATCCAAGGAAAGAGTGGCACCTACTGATTATAACATTAACTGTGCACAGCTATCTTCTCCTGGGATGGATTTTACCACAATCTCTCATCTGAGTGTTTTAGAGAACTCAAGTTCTGCTTGTCTTGTTACACATGCATCCACTTTCCTTCCCAGGGTATTTGCTAAACTCACAAACCTAATTCAAATTTTTGTCTATCTCTTTAGATGTACTGGGGCTTTGTAATTCTTATTTAACAGAATCCATTAAGTTTTCCAGAACTTCTGGTTTGTTATTAAACTTGCTTTGAAGTTCTCTGTAAGGGATAGGTAAGTATCTAAATTTAATTTTTAAATTAGTTTGCTTGTTTTTCTTTCAAAAGTGTTTACCTTAGTGAAATTTTATTTCAAGGAAATTTAAATACAAATTACTCTTAAGAAATTGCTCTGGGGCTTAAAATGAAAATACAGCCAACTTGCCAGGCAGTGGTGGTGCACACCTTTAATCCCAGCACTCAGGAGGTAGAGGCAGGAAGAGCTCTGTGAGTTTGAGGCTAGCCTGGTCTACAAAGCAAGTTCCAGGACAGCCTGGACTACACAAAGAAACCCTGTCTCGAAAACAAAACAATAAGCAAAAAATCCATCCAACTCAATAAGACATAAAGTATACAAAGGAATATAAAATGCTTGCTAGAGAACAGGGTTTGTAAGAAGCTTCCATCTGTCCAATGGGGTTTAAAAGACAGCACTGTTCCAGTTCCTAAAGGACCAGAGATTGTGGATGATAAACCTTTATACTGTTTAGCTCTGCAGTACGTGTTACATTTCCCCAGCTCATCACACTATGCACTATTACACTTCCTATATTTTGACAGGTGTACATGGAAACACTAATTTCAGATTCAAGATAAGCTGATTGTACACATTCACACACATGATATTTCTAACTACAGCTTCATGCAAACTAACATCTAGTAACATTCAAATTATAAAATTTGCCTTTTCATAAGTTTGAGAATATTATTTATATTCTACATCTTCAAGGAACAAATCTGTATTTCCATTAAAGCATGAGCATATCAGAAATAATGTAATTCTGCAGCATCATTAAAGAGTCTGAATTTAAATCACTAAACAGTTGAAATTATAGTTTTAAGGAAAAAGCTCTTTTTAAAGCTAGCATGAACAAGCTCCTCTAAGGAAGTATTTTTTGACCATTATTATAAAGACCAAAAACTCACTTATACGCTTTGAAACACAAAAGACAACCCTGTTACAAACACAGCACATACATACAACAAATAGAAAAATTGTTGGAATCCAAATAAATTTTGTACTTTAGTTAATCCAAGGTTATTATCTTATTTTGCATAAATGTCTACCAATTAAAAGATGGTAATATAAAAATAGATTAAGTAAGGAACTCTCAGCACTATTTTGAACCTCTTAGGGATCTAAAATGTTCCAAAATAGAAAAAAAAAGATGGCGGGAAAAAAATTTCAAAATAAATATGCCTTTAGCTGCCAGAACTTGATGTCATTAAAGGCAATGTTTTAAAACATCATTAGAAATCAGTACGCTTACATAACATTACAGTCACTTCATTGCTCTACAAAGCTGGAGTTTTCAAACCACCAGATTTCATATATAGTGATAAAGGAGGTTAGGCACATACATAAAAAAAAAATCTCCAACTTGGTGGATAACTGTTATAAAAATGTAAAAGTACCTGGTTAAAGCTAAGCTATCAAGTTGTATTTTCTGGATATCTACCTCAAGACTATCACTTCTCTACAGATTAGGAGCTTAAACAAAAAGAAAACTGATGTGATAAATTACTAATGAATGTATTTGAGAAATCCAAATTACATGCAGATAAAAGAGAACTAGGTACAAAAAAAGACCACAACATTACATTACTTTATACTAAAATTGTGCAGTGTTTTAAGCATTTCCAATCATGCAACAGTAACAAAGATCAAAGTAACTTTTATAAGGGAATTGATGGGAACTCAATTAAAAGTCTTGAACATATTATCCAGCCCCAATCATAGATGCATTATATTATACATCCAGTTCCCCAAGCTCATGTACGTACTACCAGGCTGAAACACCCACTGTCCCCTCAACTATTCCCCAGGCCTGTTTAATTACCTTACCTATAAACCTCTCCACTTAACCTTTTGAACTGTATTTGCGGGATAAAATCTACAGAACATTCTTCATTATTTCAGAAAATACAAGTGTAATCACATGCTCAGTCTTCAATCTCATCCTTTCAAAGGCATCAGAACTGCTGTTGCAAATTTCTAGGACATTTCAAGCCTAAGAAACCAAGAAAACTGGAGTCAAGAATCTGAACTAGGTATTTCTACAAACTATAGCAACACTGGTAATCTATCTGTGGATATCTGTAAGTTACTAGTAGGGCTCTGATGCTGTGTAGTCACTACCACTTTCTAGAGTAAATGGTTATATGACCCCATATAGCTAATCCAAAACAGGTTTACAGTCAAGCCATCTTCAAACACAACTAAAGTCACAGATATACTAATGGAAATGAAAGCTTAGCAGGTCATAAAACAGACACAGAATTTCCATTGTAATGGTGCAGGCTAAACACATCTGTCCTAGCAAAGCATCTCAAGATCAGCTGAATATGAAATCAAACTGCAGGGGAATGGATGTCTGTTAAAATCCCAACCAAAATCACTGGAAAAAATACTGTCTCAAACATACTGAATTCATCTATTACCATAATGAACTCATTCCAAATGTAACTTGGGTTACTGGTTAGGATAAAACAAATTTCAGAATTCTTTTTAAAAGAAATAAATGTATTTCATGATGTAGGCACAACAGCATCTAAAACAATTTAGTAACATTTATCATTAAATAAAAACTTACATAACCATGAACAATAATGTACAGGAAAATTTTCTCAGAAACTATTAAAGGCTTGACTTAACATGCCAGGAAATGATTATTTTGCACTGAGATGCACTTATGTAAATCATAAATTGAACTGAGGTCGGTGTTAGACCTGTCATTTGAGACCCTATCCAAATCACCAGCTACGAATGCTTATCTTCTATTCACAGCTTAACTAGACGGTAAACTACGCAACTGTTGGAGCCAGTCTGCTAATGAAGGCGATGCTCTGGAGACAAAGTCTTCTCACGAACAGTGGGCAGGAGGGCTTCATTATAATGTGCTCAACAACAATCCTCAGTTCATTAAACAAGTTCCTGTAAGACAAACAGTGTTGTTCAGATACAACAAAAAGGCAATGAATACAAACAATGCTGAGAAACGCTGACAGCAAAGGCGACCAAAAAGAATTCAAAGAAGTGGCTGGGTTTACTGGTGCACACCTTTAATCCCAGCACTGAGGAGGCAGAAGCAGGAAAATCTCTGCATTTGGGCCAGCCTTGTCTACATATTAAGTTTCAGAACAGCCAGAGCTACACAATGAGACCCTGGCTTGAAAAACAACAAAAATTTAAATCAAAGATGAACTTTTGTAAAATACACTGTAAGAATATACAAATGGTGAACCTATACACACCCATCTAGCCTTCAGGCACCAGCACAGGAGGTGGGAGACCTAGGGTTTCAAGGCCAGCAAAGTTACAGGAGAATTCCTATCTCATCACAGACAAAAGTACAGAAGTAACAGAAAAGCACTTTGAAAAACAATGGCTATATCTAAAAGGGATCATCTATAATTTTTCTTTACTTGTCAGTTTTCACACTTTACCGACAAATTCAATTCACTCCTAAAAAAATTACATAACATGGGCAACCCACACACCTTTCTTTCTTTCTTTCCTTTTTTTTTTTTTTTGGTTTTTTCAAAACAGGGTTTCTCTGTGTAGACCGGGTCTCCTTGAACTCACAGAGCTCCACCTGCCACTTCTTCCCAAGTGCTGAGATTAAAGGCACATGCCACCACACAAGGCCACAGTTTCTTTAAACAAATGTTCTCTTAGAGCTTTTCTGGACATTAGGAGTTTCAGTGCTATGAAGTTAATGGAGACAACATAGACCATATTCAATACCCCGTCACTTTACAACTTGGATACTAAGCAAATTAGTCCTTTCAGATTAAAACCTACCAACCAGTTTACACAATCTGGTCTTGATCTAACATCGCAATCCATTTCCTACTGCAGCTTCTACAATACTGTGTTGCTTTATGTTTTTTTCCCAGGTTAAGTGTCTTCTTTGTCTGACCTATACTGCTCACAAAGTACCCTTCATTACATATTATGCATGCATAAATATTTACACATCGTATACAAAATGATCTATAAGGTACTATAAGTCGATTTGATGGATCCTCAAGGGTCAATCTGACTACTCGCCATTTTCACCTTGCGTTCTGACTCACTGTGCCTGAATCCAGAGTGCTGGGGTTACAGATGTGTACCACCTTACCTGGCTAAGAGCTTTTTAGACCTTGTGTAACAGAAGTATAGAAAGCTGCAGTACACATAAGGAAAGAATGCTGTATATTGATTTGTGAATACTTTTAACTATGGTCTTTGTTTCAATTAAGAAAGTCCTTAAGAATGGGACTTAAAGTCTCATTTCCTAAGCTTAGAACCTAAAAAGATGATAAAGATAACCCTAGCTTCAATTTCTAAAAAGAAAGACAAGGTCCTTCCTCATCCTCGAATGTTTACCCTCCAGTGTTTCTACATATGCCGCTGTAGAAGTAGCATGCACTCAGCTGCAACACACTTCAGATTTCAGTCTTTCCAAGGCTAGCAACATGCTGTGCACAGCAGAAAGCTGCAGCTCCAGTAACAAGAGGTAATACAGGGAACACTATGCCGCTAAGCTGTTTGCTGGGGTAGCTGTATTAAGTGCATTTGCAACTTAAGAGTGAATTTATCAGGATGGAAACCTGTAAGTGAAGAATCAGCTACACAACTACGTTTCACTAACCCCAGCTAGTTTGAAAGCCAAGAACTTAAATTTCAAAGATAGTTCTTTCTTCCAATTCTAAACTATTAGTTAAGAAATTTCCAAGAGTTATAAATACTACATCGGGACACTAAACAAAACAGATTTAAGCTAGTCACCAGCTTACCGACAATATGGATTTCTTCTAGAGGAATAGCGAAGAGTCAAAAATCTATAGTATATAAAAGGCTGGAGCAAACTTCCTTGACCACTGAAATAGACAAATACAAGGATGATGAAAACGTATTACCGATTTACACGTATATTAAAAATTAGAAACAATTTAAAAGGAGAATATGTGTGTCTCCATCAGATGGGTCAGTAACAATTACCTTATCTAGGCACAAATTACTCTTAAGAAAGAAATAGAAGGTACAGATCAATGGAAGAGAGCAAAATGCTATTATCTAAGTTTTTATAAATTTATCCATATATTAAAATTTTAAATACTAAAACTCAGAAAATATCCCTATAATTAGCAAAGAATTGATAAAAAAAATCAAGTTTTTGGTTGGTATTTTAAAAAATTGTTCATTATTGGTATGAGTGTATATATATGTGTGTGATGTTGTATGTTGTATATGTGTGTAAAGGTCAGAGGGTAAAATCAGATTTTTCCTTCTATTTTTTCCTTGTGTTCCAGGGATCAAACTCTGATAGCCAGGCATGCAAGGCAAGTGTCTTTACCTGCCCAATCACCTTGTGGGCTCAATGTACCCTAGGCTGTCCTAGACCTCCTGAGCCTCCTAGCGCAGCATTCTGAGAGCTAAGATTACGTTTATATAGCACCACACCCACCTGAAAAGTTGTAAAACTTTTTTTTTTTTTGGTTTTATGAAACAGGGTTTCTCTGTGTAGCCATGGTTGTCCTGGAACTTGCTCTGTAGACCAGGCTGGCTTTGAACTCACAGAGATCCACCTACCTCTGCCTCCCAAGTGCTACGATTAAAGGTGTGCATCACCACTGCCCGGAAAGTTTTAAATCTTAACAGAAATCCAAGTTAAGAATGGCTTATTTTATATGAGCAAACAAAACAAAACAAAACAAAAAAATCAAAACTATACCAACTAATAAGCTGATAGAGCTTATAGTAATTAGTGTTCTTGACAAAAAAAACCATAATTCTATTATCTTGAGAATGTATGCATATGTTTTATAAAACTCCAAGTCCAGATATATTTCCTACAATCTACCTGGATTAAGACACTCAAATAATAAAAACAAGACAAGAATAAAGTTATGGCTCAGTGCTAGGCAGAGCATGTAACAGGCACGCACAAAGCTCTGGATGTGAAGGAGGGTGGGAGGATGAACTATGTCTACAACTGCAAGTTCATGCAGACACAATGAGACGGGGGGTTAGTAATTATATCGTATTAAGTAATTTAAAAATCTTGGCCAAAAGAAATACACAATGGACAGACATAGTGGAACATATTTGTAATCCCAGAAGTTGAAAGAAGAAGGGAGAAGATCATTTTTAAACATATAGTGAGTTTTAGGTCAGCTTGCCCATAAGGGACTCTGTCCTAAAAAAAAAGACAAAGGAAAAAGGGAAGAAAACCCCACAGAGCAACTTTGAAAAAAATGAGAACATGAGTCAGAGAGATGGCTCAGCGGGTGAGCTGCTGGCTGCCCAGCCTGATGAAAGAACCCTGGGACCCATGTGATGGAAGGAAAGAACTGACTCCCAAAGTTGTCCTATGACCTCCACATATGTGCTCACACACATATAAATAATAAATCTTGGCACTTGGGAGGCTGAGGCAGGAGGATCTCTGTGAGTTAAGGCCAGCCTGGTCTACAAAGTGAGTTCCAGGACAGCCAGAGCTACATAGTGAGGTCCAAACTTAGAAAAAAACCAAAAAATAACAAAATCTTTTTTAAAAAATGAGCTTAGTATTTTTAACACTTTCTTCTAATTTGTACAACAATTTCATTATAAAATAATTCATACGATTACAAACTTATTGTTTAATGTTATATACACTTTGCCCAACAAATAATCTAACAAAAATTTAACTTTCCAAACTGAAACGTTTAGCAGAGAAAATACAGAAAACATTCACTAAAAACCCAGTTTCTCACCATTCAAATTAGCCCTTGATGAAACTCAGAAAACTCCCCATAATCTATCCTTCAGGGAACATACACACACACACGTGTATAAAATGACTAACACTAAGACAATGCTCATCAATAACTCACTACTCACTAGCTCTAGAGAGAGTGGCATTACTGTGAACACAATACAAAAAGCACATACCTGTCCTTATATATACCTCCAAAAAACCATAAATGAAGAACACCTTATATACTGTCAAACAACTCTAACTTCTATTAACATGTAATAGAAACATGACATGCAAATTATTCTATTTCTTTTACAGTTTCGAGTATTCCATCTTACGTTCCTACTATTACTACCACACTACCCTAGTCTGAATATTTAGGGTGGCTCTAGGACAAAGCTGTAGCTGAGGGTGTAGCTTGGTAGTGTCTGCTCATCCTGTAAGCACCCGTGGAAACACGACAGGGTGCTTATGTCTCAGCATCCTTGTACTCAAGAAATAGAAGTGGGAAGATTGCCTCAAGATGAGCCTGGGCGGGGCTGGAGAGATGGCTCAGTGATTAAGAGCACTGACTGCTCTTCCAGAGGTCCTGAGTTCAATTCCCAGCAACCATGTGGTGGCTCACAACCACCTATAATGAGATCTGGTGCCCTCTTCTGGCCTACAGGCAAGATACTGTATAAAAAATAAATTAATCTTAAAAAAAAAAAGATGAGCCTGGGCTACAAAAGACATGGAAGGGAGGGAGGAATGTAGGGAAGCAGAAAGGGAAGGAAAAGGGAAGAGAAAAACTGAAGAAATGTGGGAAAAGAAGTAAACAAACTTACAATGATATCTGTCTTTGCACATATGTGCATGCATATGTAAGATAAACTAAAGAGTATAGGGTTATCATTCAATACAGAGCTCCAGTAACACAGCTTCTACTAGGCAGACAGTGCATCTGCCATGGAGGTAGCATAAAAGACTAATGATAGCATAATTATCTTAATTTTATAGTTTTGGTTATATTTAAGTTACATACTTAAGGTATTAAGTATTCTATATACAATATACGATTGCACATGGAAGGTTGAGGACAGAGCTCAGTGATAGAACACTTGCCTAGCATGTGTTGAAGTTGTGGGCTTGATCCCTAAAGACAAAATAAATAAACTTTATATAAATGATGATTTTAATTATATTCATGTATTAAGTTGTCAACAGATAAAGTTAATTAATAATAAAAAAAGACTTCTAAGTGTGGGGAGCTTGTAGGGAAGAAGAGTTTCGACAAGGGAAAAGAGAAGCTGAGAGAGCAATGAGGCCATGGGATGGTAAAAAAGACCAGCACACTACACACATGTATGAAAATGTCAAAGGAGAATGATTTTAAAAGCCTGTTAAAGCATTTGGGGAAAACAGACAAATCCCTGATTTTCCCATGGTGCAATGCTTCTTCTAAAGCAACTGGGATGCTGTACCTGAGGGTAAATGCTGAACTTGCCCTGACTCAAACAGGATGAAATCTAAGTGACTATCTTTATGTTCACTTGCCATCCATCTTTCAAAACCAGCACATTTGAATTCTTACCTAAAGAGCATAAAAACTGTAGCCGGCATCAAGAATATTTCATTGCAAGCAATGAATTTCAGAATATTTTGTTGGTTAGCACTTAATTTATCCAAGACAGATCTCAGCAGAGGTAAACTATTTGAACCCTTTGCCTAAAACAAAAGGAAACAAGCATTAGAAATAACATGACATCTTTAGCAACTCACTAGTTACTCAAACACAAAGTATGTGGGGACTCAGGACTCCTGGAACGACACCACGTTCACATACAATCCACACTCATCTTCTATACTTTAAGCCATCTCTACATTGTTTACATCCTAGTGCGACATAAAAGCTACGCAAGTAACAACAGCTCAGGAAGCCAAGAAAAGCCAGTTCAGTACAGACACAATAATTTTTGGCAAACACTTTTGATTCATAGTTAAATCTGAAGAACTGACAGCTCTTTAGATCGGTAGCATATTTAACACATAATACAAAGGATATATTTCAAAGTGACCTTAAGAGTTTACAAACTAAGAACTTACTCAGCATACTTTCTTGTTTTATTGTGTTCCCAAAGAGAACCCAAAACATATTAAAAAAGAAATTTTTATTCTTACTTTATTTCCCATAAAAAAGTTAAATCCCACCCCCCAAAAAGTTGCTATTTCTCTCTAAATTTAAGAAAAAGCTGACAATTCATCAATAGTTAAAATATGTGTGACTCCTTAGATAACGATACAAATTATGGAATCCTAAATACTCATGTGGCTGGAGAAATAAAGAAATAAATTAAGGCTGGAGAGATGGCTCAGTGGTTAAGAGCACTGACTACTTTTCCAGAGGACCAAAGTTCAATTCCCAGCCCCCACATGGCAGTTCACAACTGTCTATAACTCCAGTTCCAGGGAGCTAGACACCCGTACACAGACATACATGCACGTAAAACGCCAATGTACATAACTTATAAAAAAAGAAAATCATTCATTAAAATTAGTTAATCAAATGCTAGGCCCTCCCTCTGAGAGAATTTCTCTGTGTAGCCCAGGCTGCCCTAGAACTCGCTCTATAGCCCAGGCTGGCCCTGCCTCCTGAGTGCTGGGATTAAAGAATTACAGGACTAAAGGCGTGTGTCACCACCGCCCTGCACATTACTTGTTTTTAAATGAAGATGTAGATTTCAAACTTCAGGGAACTGAAAATTTTAAGAACAATCCTTTATCCCCAAAAGACACTGTTTTATGACATTTTAACAATATAATCTTCAAATTGAAAAGTTTCAAATCACTTAAAAAGATTCCTACCAAGTTTACGGAACAGAGGGACTTCCGGTGAGAAAGTCGGAACCGCAAGTCACACCGGCTATCACAATCTAGAGCCAATGAAACAAACAGTTGTACTTACATCCAGGACCTTCTTAGTGTATGTGGCAGCATGAAGCAAAGAAAACAACAAGACTGGGAAAATACTCACTGGAGAAAGCAGTTAAGGAAAGCCTCCAAGTCACCGAGCACTGTGCACCTGTGCACACGGCTATGCAGTGTGTGCAAAGCGGAGCTGAAGCAACACTTGGCATGAGTTTGGGGAGTGGCTTTCTTTCTTTTTTAAAAAAAACATATTTATGGGAGGCTGGTGAGATGGCTCAGTGGTTAAGAGCACTGACTGCTCCTCCAGAGGACCCGGGTTCAATCCCCAGCACCCACATGGCAGTTCGCAGCTGTTTGTAACCCCAGTTCCAGAGAATCTGACATCGTTATATCAATGTGCATGAAATAAAGTTAAATAAAGTTTAAAAAAATATTTATTTATTATGTATACAGTGTTCTCTCTGTATGCATGCCTACAGGCCAGAAGAGGGCATGAGATCTCATTACAGATGGTTGTGAGCCACCATGAAGTTGCTGGGAATTGAACTCAGGACCTCTGGAAGAGCAGTCAGTTCTCTTAAGCTCTGAGTCATCTCTCCAGCCCGAGTGGCTTTCTTTTATAGCCCGACTTTGAATCAAATAAAGTTCTACCACACAAAAAGAAGTAAACTTCCTCACTTTCTAAATCTTACCATCTGTTTGGGATGTCAAAAACATTTTAAATAAAGCACCATAAGTATCTGCTAAGCAAAGGTGAAATGTAAGCCACCCCAAATGACTGAATATAGTTCTCACCCCACAACGGTCATTGTTTCATTGTTTCGTTTTGTTTTTTTAGGATTTATTATGTGTGTCCCTGCACGAGTTTATGTTCACTATACACATGCAGGTGCCCTTGGAGGCCAGTGGACTGGATCCTTTGCACCTGAAATTACAGGCAGTTGTAAGTTGCCTAGTGTGGGTGCTGGGACCAAACCTGGATCCTCTGCAAGGACAGTAAAAGCTATAAGAGTCATCTCTCCAGCACACCAATTTGGTTTTAAGCACAGAAAATCTTGCTTTTAAGAGAGTACACTGTTGACAAAGGTGTCAAAGAAATGGGCTTAAATCCCATTACTTTAGGGGCTGGAGAGATGGCTCAGCAGTTAAGAGCACTGACTGCTCTTCTAGAGGACCTGGGTTCAATTCTCAGCACCCACATGGCAGCTCACAACAGTCTGAAAATGCAGTTCCACGAGATCTGACACCTTCACACCAAAGCACATAAAATAAAGATAAATAAATCATTTAAAAAAATGTTTTTTTAAAAAAATCCCATTACTTTGAGGAAATATACCTATTTCCTTTTTTCAAACATTTTGAATTTGTAAAAATTCATACTGAATTTATAAGAGACTATAAATTTCAGTTTACATAAAATTTTATCAGTTTAATTACAAATAAGAAAAATTGTATTAAATCCAATGTTTTTTTAATTGTTATATTAACTCCAATATTTACCTACCATACACTGTAGGTAGACACACAATTTTCATCCAATTTTTCTTTTTTTCAAGACAGGGTTTCTCTGTGTAGCCCTGGCAGTCCTGGAACTCAACTCTATAGACCAGCCTGGTCTCGAACTCACAAAAATCTGTCTGCCTCTGTCTCTCAAGTGCTGGGATTAAAGGCATGAGCCATCAACACCTGGCTCAACTTTTCAGAAGAAAAAATGAGAACAATCCACTCCAATTTTTGTCAGATTAATAATAAGAACCTTGTCAAGTATTTCCATAAAGGACAAACTATCAATGATGAATGGCATAAAAAGTAGCCTTAAAACATCATCGCTAAAACCATGAGCACTAGAAATGAATCACTCTACTTTCCTGTACTAGGTAGCAGTACGGCATGGGTGGAAACCGCTGAATGCTAACAACCTAAGTTTTAAATTCACTGCAACACTAACTCACTCATTCCAACCAGTGAACAGCTGGGCCCAAACATTACAAGAATCTAAACACAAGCGTGTGTCTTACTCCGCAGCCTAAGCCAGCTTCAAACTCTTGTTCCTCCTCGCCTCAGCTTCCCAGGAGTTGGGATCACAGGCACACACACGTCTGGCTCCAATTTAAGACCTTTTAATGAAATAGATTCCTTTAAAACTTGAAACTTAAAAAACTTCTCATTTTTAAGGCCTATGTGCAACTCTGATAAAGCTTAAAAAAATTCATCTCAAACTCTGACACCCCCAGACCTGAAGTCTAATTCAATAACAGAGGCAGTCAACAGGAGTTAAGATATGTGGATTCCAGTTCTGGTTTTTACAAACCTCATTCTCCTAGGCCAAATTTCATCCTCTGTCAAATGAACACATAGAGAGCAAGGAGACTTGTAATGAGTATTTATCTCCCAATTGTCTACAGCTCACAAATCATTAAGAGATTCACCTTAACTTTTAATATCACTTCACTCTTCCTCCCCAACTTTTGGAGACAGGGTCTCAAGGAAACCTTGGCTAGCCTTGACTTCATACTTGACTTTCCAAGTGATAGAATTACAGGCATGCGATTACTTGCCTGGTTCAATGTCACTTTTAAATTATTTAGAAAAGATAAGGAGTGAAGAAAAGTCTACCATTTTATTCTCAAGTGCCAGGCACTGAAAGAGCAAGGACAATATACCACATTAAGAACACAGGAGTCCCTGCACTCAGGAGGCAGAGTTCTGTAGTCCGAGGCCAGCTTGGTCAACAAAGTGCAGTTCCAGGACAGTCGGGGTTGCTACACAGAGAAACCCTGTCTCAGAAAAACAACACAAGCAAACAGCAAAGGCCAAAAATACATTTGCAGAATTACTTTGAGCCACCTTTGTACATACCATAATCCCTGATTTCTTTAGGAATTAGATTAGCATCGACTACTTTATGTTCTTGCCACTGCTCACTGACTCTCCTCCCCTGACGCCTAAGAATGAACCTGCTGAGCCAACCTGCTAGCCTGGTTTTGCTCTTTGAGGCAAGTCTCACTATGTAACCTTGGCTGGCCTGAAACTACCTATGTAAACCAGGCTGGCTTTAAACCTCCTGTGTCTCCCAGTGCTACGATTACAGGCTCACACCTTAATTTCTGGTTTATGTATAGCAAATTATTTTCACAGATTAACCTTCTTTTGTTCCTAGCTCACTGGAAGCTGGGGTAGCCAAAGGGCTGGAGAGACGCTTTGATTGAAGAGCACTGGCTGCTTTTACAAAGGACCTAAATTCATCTCCCATCACCTGCACAGCGGCTCAGTTTCAACAGCCTCCTCTAGTCTCCACAGGCATCAAGAACACATGGTATACCAGGCAAACACTCATACATGTAAATAATGTGCATATTTTTGAAAAATTGCATAATCATAAAAACCTGCACATTCCCACCAAGATATAAAGATTTAATACTGAATTCATGTGCTCTGAATGTTAATTGTTAAATATCTGCTAAACTTACAAGGCAAGAATATTGAGAGATGAAGTTTAAATTCCCAAGACAGCTCTTACAGAGTTTAGATTTCAAATTTTGGGGACAGAAATTTTACATTAATATATCTCCATAAAAAAGACAGACTAAAAGCCAAACAAACATGCTTCATTGAACATTACTATATCCTTCAAACAGAAAAACAACCAAGACATCTTCTACATGCTTATTATGGTAATTTCACGGTCACGACATGAAAAGGATACTTGTAACAGGGTAGGAATTAACAAAAATGAGTGAATACAGCAGGTAGTGACAGCTGTCCTCTAGCAAGGCCTGAGCCAGGAAGGCTCTGCTTAACTGGAAGTGTGGTAATCTCTGATGCAGTCTCAGTGCACTGGTGAGAGCATTCGCCAGCAAAGCACGCTGGTAAAAGCTTGCTGCCTCATGCAACCTGCAAATTAGCAGAGGAAAAGTTATCATGAGACATACAGCTACCACGGCTCTTCCTCCTCTGTGAATTGCATCATAATTGCACAACACCTAAATCATTTAATTGTCAATAGAAAACAAATTACACGAATGTATTCCACATTCTGGGAAGCATCACTTCAAAGACATATCTAACTTGTCAAGTTAAAAAAGTAACAACTGCAAAAACCATGACTGTGAGCGAATGAGCAGTCACACAAATAACAATAAAACACCCCCTAATTGGTATTACCAGATTACTGTAAATTTTAAATGGGGTTTGTGTTAGTCTTATGCCACTCACATTTTAATAAAGGCTAAAAAGCATTTCATAAATGCTGACTGGACAACTCTGAGTCAGAAATATAATACATACCCGAGAAGAGGCAGAACAAACAGAGCGGAGCAATAAACTGTGAACAAGCGAGAAAGCCACATTGCTGTATCCAGTTTATTGGTCATCATGAATTGCTAGATTTAAGAAGAAAAATATTATGGTAAACTAAATCCAAATTATGTTAAGGGCAAATTATGCACTTTTACTCCTATGAAAGATATTTTAACGACCACCTTGCAATGTTTGTTTTTTTAGATTATTAAGTGGAAACTCATAGTACCTAACTGCTTCTTCACATACCTGCTGTGGAAGGCATAAGAAGCACTTTCAGAAAAAAAAATCAGGACAGTAATTCAACTTTCTGTGCTATTTCAACATTTATAATAATGGCCCCATCTATTTTAAAATGTTAAATAAGAACTAATGACTCTCATGAGACTATAATGTCTATTCTTAGAAAAATCTCAAACCCAAATAGTCAGGCCACAGAACTGAGCACGACATCAAATATTAGGTTTGAAAGAAATAAGCCATTAAAAAGAGAAAGGCAAAATCAGTGCAGCAATTACTGGTGAAGCCACCAGTCTGCAGACTATCCGGCATGTTTATGCCAAAAGGCGTCGCACACCCAAGGCACTCAAAACATGCCTGTCGAGTATGAGATGTTATCTGCTTCTCAGACCATATGACTCTGCATTCCCTACAGGCCACCACATAAGCTTTACCTGCTATTATTGACCCCAGATTAAGTTTATCATGAAAGCAAGAACTTAAAATCTGCTTCATCAAGATGAAGGTGATGGTGGTGCACACCTTTAATCCCAGCACTCGGGAGGCAGAGACAGGCAGATCTCTGTGAGTTCGAGGTCAGTCTGATTTACAAGAGCTAATTCTAGGACAGACTCCAAAGCTACAGAGAAACCTTGTCTCAAAAAACCAAATAATAATAATAATAATAGTAATAACAACAACACCAATAAATCTGCTTTATCACTAACGTACCTCACATCCATTTCTAAAGAGCCTTTTATATTTTTAACTACAATGCTCAAAAACAGAATTACTACCAAGATGCAAACATATGTGGGTATATAAACACAAGTCTCATAATACGTATCCTCATTACATGTGATAGACTTTTGCTTCCAGTTGGTGCTTCCAATAAACTGATTTTAAAACACATTGATGCATCTATTTAATGTTCTTAAATATTAGTTTCAAGCAACTTCATTCTATTTTTTGCATGCACAAAAGTTTTTAACGAAAAATGCAAGTATATTTAAAATTGAAGGGCATTTTATTACATGTTTAATTACATGACATCAAGAATACAAAATGTGTGGTTAACTGGGCAGTGGTGACACTCGCCTTTAATCTCAGCACTCGGGAGGCAGAGAGGAGGATCTCGAGTTTGAGGCCAACCTGGTATACAGAGCAAGTTCCAACACTAGCTCCATAGCTACTGAGAAACCCTGTCTCAAAAATAAATGAATGAATGAATGAGTGAGTGAGTGAATGAATGAGTGAGTGAATGACTGTGGTTAGCTTGTTCTATTGGGACCTAGCTATTATACTGTGATGTCCCTATAGGTACCTGATTATAGCAGCAGTCAAATGCAAGGATGAATCTACCTTACTATGTTGTTTGTTTAGAGCATTCTCTTTAAAGTCCATTTGATGGGTCATCAAGAGGGCCCCGCAGGAAGAGCCACATGCTGAGAACTGAGCTAGGGTTTTCTGCAAAAGCTGCAGTCACGTTTAAACCCTGAGTCCATCTTTCCAGTCCTTCATTTGGGTCTTTTTTATGTAGGTACATTCTATTACATAATACGGGAGCTTAAAGGCATATGTTGGTTTAAGTTTTGAAGTGTGAACTGCGTAATATATATAGTCCCAACCCCCAGCCCCAAAAACACATTTTAATGGTTCTTTGGATTGAACACAAATTGAGGGCACACAGTCTCAAAACATTAGACATACAGCTTTTGAATTATAAAGGGGGAAACTGTATTTTTACAACTGAGAATCAGTTGATGGTATCACCTTAAACATCACACCTGAATTCCCCCAAAGATACAATCAACATAAAATGGCTCTTGTGTCTTGAGAAGGGCACAATCAGTTCTGAAACTGCAGTTTCTGGATCATTCTGTGTAGCACGAAGTCTAACTGGTCTTAATAAAAACTCGGAGCCAGATATTAGGGGGGTGCGAGCTGAAGGATCAGGGAAGCACAGTAGCCAACTACTAAAGAGTTCTTACCTCTACCAATGCTCAGACCTAAGGGTGATCCTGTCTCTACGAAACCTCACACTGTCCCTGTTTCTACCAAATCTCAGACTGCACTGACATTTGAAACTATCTGTCTTCAAAACCCAAAGAGGGAGAACAGAGGAACTTTTATTGATTGAATAAGAGCAAAGAGATAAGACTAATAAATGCAATGCTGAATCCCAACGAGGGGAAGTGCCAATGGACAATGGAGGAAAATTGAGTATGAACTACATATTACGTTAACATACATCAATGTTAAACTTCCCAAATGGAGTGAAGTGGAGAATAACCCTCAGCATTCGTGGGTTAGAAAGAATTTCAAACAGATCAGTAAAATAACAAAATGTCCCGGATGGAATTAGAGAACAACATTTTTAATTATAAAGCTTACAGAAGAGTGGTATTCACCTCAAGTAAACAACAAATTGAAGAAAACACACCGCTGTGCTCTTTTCGGGATTTCTTAAAGGGCTTAAAGTAGGTACAAAGGGCAATACTACGGGCACCACGGGGCGTGTGGGTGGAAACCTCTGCCTCAGATGGCATCTTTAACCTTGGGGCCGAAGACAATCGGAGACAGTGGTGTGGGAAAGGCGCAGGGAGGCCCAAGATCCCAGCAGGCAGGTGACGGCCACCTGCTCCATGCCTGCCTGCAGTCGCTTTTGCAACAAACTTCGAGCTCCTCTCCACCAGCACTCCACTCCCTAACCCTAGTCCCGCAGGCAGCGGCTTCTAGAAAGCTCTAGCCCTCTCAACACTTCCTGCTCCTCGCCAACTCTAGGTATGATGGAGCCGGGAGACCAGGCCAATCACTTACCACAGCGCCCGCCCCTTGGGGGCCGTTCGGGGTCGTATCCGCCATGGGAGACACTCAGGAGCCCGGGACGCTGGGACAAGCGGAGAAAAGAAGAGCAAAACGTTAGTGCTGGGCGACGACCCTCCGACCCGCTTCCAGAGCCCGCCGGAACCCCAAACCCCCAGCGGAACGGGGTCTGCTGGCCCCGTGCAGCACACGGCCCCAGAAGCTCCCACCGCGGCCGGGTATTACCTGCCCCACTCGGTCCAGATCAAAGCTGTCTTTCCAGAAAGACCCAAGAAAAGGCGGAGCTTCCGAATAAGGCCCTAAAGGGCCGATCTACGCCGCCGGTACCCAGGGGTTGCAAAACCGGAAGTGGCCCTTTCGTTTCCGTGCGAGTGAGGTGGGGACGTTAGAGGTCATCGGGAGTTGGTTCCAGAGGCACGACGGGAAATGTAGTTTTTCTTGTTTTGAGTCCACCTGTTCTATGGGCCAATTGACTCAGAGATATAAGAAGTTAAAACAGTGAAGCAATTTTTGTCTTATCCAAGACGCAGGCGATTCTACTTGTGCTTCGAAACCTTAAAAATCTGTCTACTTCCGTATACAGAAGCTTCCAAAATGTCTATGACCTCTCCAGACAGTGATTCACTAACCCCTGTGATTTAACTTCTTTCAAGCTCTTGTGAAACCGGCTATATGATAGGCATTACGCTTGGCATGGAGAATATGAACATAACATTGACCTCCTGAGAGACAGCAGAGTAAATGGAGATCACTGCAAAACTTGTGTAAAATATGGGCATAAACTGAGTTAATCGGAGGGGGGGTTCCTGAAAAAAATAATTCTGACCCTTAATCTTGGCTGAAAAGGAAAAGGGGAAGGAGATTCCAAATGAAGGAGCAGAGGACGTGAAATAACAGAATCGTCAGAGGACGGCTTGGTGTGAGGTGACCGAATGTGACTGGACCTGGGAGAAGAAAGATCTGGATTACAGAGAGGCAGGATGTGCTAAAAGAAAAACATCACTGGATCAGTTGAAAGGGGTTGGAAGAAAAGGGGAGGGGAGACATGATGGAATTTTATTTTAATTAAAAACAGGTTTTTAAAAAGGCATCTACCTGCCTGGGCAGTGGTGGCGCATGCCTTTAATCCCAGAACTGGGGAGACAGAGACAGGCAGATCTCTGTGAGTTTGAGGCCAGCCTGGTTTAAAAGAGTTAGTTCCAGAACAGCCAGAGCTGTTACACAGTTAAATTCTATCTTGAAAAACCAGAAGAAAAAAACAAAAACAAAAAGACATCTGAACTTAACCCTGCGCTCTAGAGAGTCACTAGTAGTTTTAGCAGAAGTGTGACATCATCAGGTTTAGAAAGATCACCGGGAGGCCACTGAACACAGCGAGGGAGTCCTGGATTGTGGCGATGGTGTATGAGAAGAGGAAAGGAAAGATGACGAGAATGTGGCTTCCATGGTTTGGTTACTGGCTAGGCAAAGGTATGCAGGGGAGGGGCAGTCATCGGCTGCGACCTAGAAAAGAGACATAGAGAAAAATGAGAAAGAAGAGCAAAAGATTGAGAGGAAAGCATGGAGGGACAGAGGAGGGGCTGACTACAGAGCTAGAGAACAGGCCATACCCCAGCTGTGAAACCATGCATCGTTATCTCCTACCCTCTCAGAAGTGTAATTATCTTCATGGTTCCTAGGAGTCCAGGTGCCAGTCAGCTGCTGCACCATAGAAACGTAGACTTTTTTCCTAAGGCCAATGTCCACATACAGATTCCCAGAATCTCCAGCATAGATTCCCCCATCCTTCCAGCTCAGCTAACATGTTACCTTCTCTTCATTGGCCATGTATCCTTTGTCCTATACTTTAACATTGTCAAATTTTTAATTATTTGTTTAACCTGCCTTTCCTGCCCTGTGTCTATGTGTGTATGTGTGTGTGTGCGTGCGTGCGTGCATGCATGCTTTTGTGTGTGTGTGTGTGTGTGTGTGTGTGTGTACTCGTGTGTGTGTACACATGCACTCATGTATGTTCTGGTTCACTTGGTGTTAAATATAACAGACTGAGTAAAAAAAAAATGACTTCTTTTTCCTCACAGTTATGGATGCCAGAAAATCCGAAATCATTTTATCAGCAAGGTAGGTTTGATTCTAAGACTTAGTCTTGCTGACTGAATCAGTGATCCTATTAATTCTAGTAGCTGAATTTGATTTCCCTCTGCCTCTTCTGTCATCTCACCCAAGTGCGCTTTATGTCATCTCAATTTAAAACAAAACAGAAGAACCTCGTGATATTGTCAGGTCAATAATATCTTGATACTATATCGTAATGCCTATGCCATCCGCCTCATTTCATCTCTTGACATAGACTTTACACACACACACACACACACACACACACACACACACACACAACTCTTTCTCTCCACGTTCTCACTCTGTAGCCCTGGCTAGCCTGCAACTCACAAAGATCCACCTGCCTTTGCTTCCCAAGTATGGGATTAGAGGCAATGGTCACCACACCCCACCTGGCTTTCTATCATGCGTGTGGCACATGGGACATAAGCACAGTACAGGAGGATAGTTTGAGAGAACACATACATATAACTTACGAAGTATATTGTTACCAATGTTCTATTTTATTCTCAATATTTTACTGTTGCTGCTTTATGAATAAAAATCACAGTACAGGGGAGAAAATGCAATATATATATAGGATTAAGCAGTACTGAAATTGCAGTTCTAGGCCTCCACTAAGCACCTTGGAATATGTTCTCCATGGGTGAGGAGGACTCGCTGCAACAAAGAGTATTTCAATAACAAAAATTAGACTAAACAAACACATGAGAAATCAAAGGCTCAGTAGCAGAGCAGCTGTGAGAGAAAATGGAGACAGATGACCCCTTCTTGAGCCACAACTAGATTCAAGAGTTCAAATAACATCAAAGAAGCTTGATCTCCTTTGCTTCCCCCTAAATTGATTTTACTGTCAAACAGGTTTCTCAGGCAGGTTAGCCCATGTTGCACCAGCTCAGCAAAGGCCTGTTAACACAAAGTGCGCTTGCTTTTGTATGACCATCCGGGCTTCATTTTCATGGCACCGAATTTGTTTTTACAAAATTGCTAAGGCAGCCATTTGTCCTAAAATATAATCAACAAAGTTTGGATCATTCACCCATCAAAGGGGAATGAGTGGAATTATTCTCGCCCAAAATTCAAGAGCATTGCTATGAAAAAAGGTATGGGTGCCAGAGGAGGCAAAACTAAGCATTTTTAAAAAATTTTTAGCTTATGCTTTTTTTATAATTTATTTTTCAATGTCCACCAATTACTTACAACTAAAGCTTCCCCACAGGCTCAGAGTCAGTTCCTAAGGGTTACCCAGATTGCGTTCATTGAAAGTAAGAAAATCTTGACGTAACACACATCACAAACTGAAGCAGTCGTTTCACAACAGGCTAGACACTGACTGAGGGAGCAAGAATCGATCCCAGCGTTATTGATGACTTGGCTCTCCCCGGTTTTCCAGGGGGTTCTACTGAGCCGTCAAGTCATCCGTTTGCTCATTCCTGCTCCCAGCAGTGATTAATAATCCTGCGCTGGGCAGAGCACCTCTGCTAAGGACTGAGTCACCTCACCGGAATACACTCCTACTTATAATAGCTACCTGAAAAGGCAAGCTCCATAGGGTTCACAGGGGTAGCTTGGTATGGGGTCTCAATAAATGAGGTCTAGTGCCACTTTTAAAAGCATGCATTGCCTAGGAGGCTGAGGCTCTAGAGGTCGTATGACCCTCCTTGTCTGGGCCGTTGTCTGGTGGTATATTTAAACTCTAAGCTACAGGTAACTAAGTCTTTTTCTATTGTCTTAGTTTTCTGCCTCTGCTATTGAAATGTGTCACAAGACTGGTGGATAAGAACAGTTATCTGTGACCTATGTAATGCTGGGGATCAGGATCCTATACCAGGCTTGCTGTGTTGAGGTCAAGACTTCTGCAGGTCTCCATTTCTTTCTGGAAACCCCAGGGGAGAATTCACTCCCTTACCTTTTCCGGTTGCCATGGCCCATTCTCCTCCTTGGTTCCCAGACCCATTTCTCCATCTTCAAAGCCGGCAGTGCCCCACCATTCTGAAGTTTTCCACAGTTGCAGCCCTCTCTGACTCCCTTCGGTCACTCTCTTGCACTTTAGAGACCCTTGGGATTCCACTGGGCTGAGCTCAGTGGTCCAGGATGGTCTCCCTGTAATGAAGTCAGATATAGAGCCAATCTTCCCTTGATCCGCAGCCATAATTCCCCTTTGCAGTGAACCTAACACAGTTACAGGTTCTGAGGACTGGGGTGTGGTCTGGTGGCTGGGGAAGAGTGACCTTACTCTACTCGCCGCCTCTGTAAGCGTGCAAATGAGTTCTGCCTGACTGAGGACACTGCTGCATTTTCTGCCTACCTATTCCTGTATAAAAATCCAGTTTGTTACAATTCGTAAAGTCACCTGAATGTTCCTTTATTTTTATTTTTAACTTTTTGGTTTTTCAAGTCAGGGTTTCTCTATGTAGCCCTGGCTGTCCTGGAACACTTGCTGGAAAGGAGACCACTCGTTTTCTGACTGCCCAGCCTCTTAGACCCGAAAATAATCTCACAGAAACTATATTATTTAAATCACCATTTGGCCCTTTAACTCTAGTTTCTTATTTGCTAACTCTTACATCTTAACCCATCACCATTAATCTGTGCATCACCATGAGGTAGTGGTCTACCAGCAAAGTTTCAGCACATCTGTCTCCTGTGGTGGCTCCATGGCTTCTCTCTGACTCCATCTTCCTTCTCCCAGCATTCAGTTTAGTTTTCCCCACCTACCTCTCTGTTCTATCCTGTTAGGCCAGGCCATTTTCTTTATTCACCAATGGTATTCACAAAATATAGAGGGGGAATCTCACATCAAACACTCTCTGTAGACCAGGCTAGCCTTGAACACTGAGATCTGCTTGCCTCTGCCTCCCAGGTACTGGGATTAAATGCATGTGTCACAAACCAGGTGAACATTACTCTATTCCCCATAAATTTCCAGCCTTTGACTCTTCATTTCAATCAACTTTAGCAGCTTTCCTATTTTCCTCATTAATTAGTGAGCTACCTAAAATCTCTGCCCTGGGTGTACACACACACACACACACACACACACACCACGATATATTCTAATGCTTCTAAAATCATCTCCACCTCTTCCACCTTTGCATAAAATTCAACCTGTAAAGGATGGCCTTGGCAGGAAATGGGCTGTAAGGTGATGGATGAATGTCAAGATTGGGCTACTACTCCCTGACCCTTGACTTTATGCCACAATTAATTTAAGAGGATTTAAAACAAAACAAAACAAAAAAACAAGCAAATGAA